TGGTTAATCAATGTGATCATACAATGAGATAATATAATAAAAGACAAAGAATTGGAGAAGTTCACAAAGTATCAAAATCTGAAAATTGAAGTTCAAAGATCGTAGCATAAACTGTCTACGGTGGTTCCAGTAGTTGGTACACTAGATATTGTACAAAAAAATCTTGGACAGCGCTTAGAATTTCCATTTGTCAATTACAAAAGGCCATACTACTTAGATTTGCACATGTACCATGCCAATACATTATGACATCCTAGGTTTTTAGGAAAAATTTGATGCATATGAAGGACAAAAGAACAGCTAAAGAATAGCTAAAGAACTGGCAGCTGTGATTTCACATTTTTGCGCATATAATTGGGACCATCAAGTTTTGGGAAATGAGCAGATTAAGATCTTATGGGACTTTAAGATCCAAAGAGGAATCTTGTTTTTGACTGATATAAATATTATTGAAAAGAAAAAGTATCATACATTGGTATTGGTATAAAGGATGATGTTATATTAAGAAAAAACAAAATACAAAATACAGGGCTTGCAGATTGAAGCTAAACACTTTTGGGGAAAAAAAATCCATTGTTATACCAATTGTGACTGGAGCCCTCAGAGCAATATCTAAACCCCCCTCAATATGTGGATATATTGAATTTAGAATCACCTTGAACCCAAGATGAGCAGCAAATAAATTTAATAAAAACATTCAGCAATTTATGATATTGCTGAATATAAATATTGACAAACAAAACTGACGGCTAATGAGATGGAGTTAGAAGAAGTCAAAATCAACAGCGTAATTTTCCAAAGTACCTTATTATCAGTGTACTTTTTTTACTATCAAAGATCTCATTGACAACAATTTTGAACAGGATGATCTCTGGATATGAAATGGCTAAAAAGAGAATTAAAATATTTGTATTTACTCTTTATGTATGATTTCATATTATTTGAAACAATGAAGGCTGAATTGGACTCTTGCGTACAAAGCACAAAAGAATTCAACAAAGATATTGGAATGCAATTTGGCACTGACAGGTGTGCAACCATTGCCATAAAAACAGGCAAAATTGCTGAAGACGATGAAATACAACTTGATAAGAAATATTTGATAAGCACCTGAAAAAGGCTACAAAAATGTGGGAGTTTTTGAAGCTTCTAATTTATTATAGAACCAAATAAAAGAAGTAATTCTACCAAATATAGTAACCAAGTTCATAAAATTTTAAAATCAATGGTGGAAACTTAATGAAAGCAATCTAGGTATGGGCAATCCCTTTTATTTGATATACAGCAGCTCCTTGATAGAACTTGATCACTTGGATCGGAAAACAAGAGACTAAGGATGATGTGCTCTACACCTAAAAAGCCATATTGATCAGTTGTCTTTGCCAAGAGCTAGAGGGGCAGAGGACTTCTACAGGTGAACCATACTATGGAGGAAGAAAAGCATGGTTTGAATGACTCCATCAAGAAATGTGATGAACTTTTTTTTGAAGGAAGTCAATCAAGGAAAGCTCTTGAAAAAAACGAAGAAAGAAAAAGGTGAGAGTGAGTATAGAAAAGAAACAATTGAAAACTGGTATCTTAACTGTAAGAATAACCCAACACACAGTCAAGTGAAAATGATAAAAGGAAAAGCCGATTAAAACCACACATAAGGTTGGTGAAAATCAGGAGTGTTAATGAAACAGAAGGCTTTATTTTAGCAGCTTAGCAACAAGTCTGCCAACTAATTGCTGAAAGAGAAAATTCAGCATGTAACACACAACACACAATGTTACCCTTGTAGTGAAAAGGATGAAACAATTGACCACCTGATCAGGGGCTAATCAAAATGGCAGATTGCAAGCAGCATCATGACCTATTATGCCAAAATCTGCCAAATTTATTAACAAGTTGCTAAAATTACTCAGAAGTTTGGTTTTGAATATAGCAAGAACCACTGGGAGTTGAGAATGTTTTGGAAAATGTACAGGTTAAGATCTTATTGGACTTTAAGATTCAAACAGACACGCATCTTGTTTATAACATGCCTAATATAACAGTAATTGAAAAGAAGAAAGTCTGATTTATTGATGTTGCTATAATGAGTGAAGCTAGGATTGAGGAAAAACAATTTAAAATATGTGAAATATCAGGACTTGTAGATCAAAATCTTAAAAGAAGAGAAATCTGCTGTAATACCAATTGTGTGTGGAGCCCTCTAAAGTGGGTGTCAAACTTGCCATGTCACGTTGCTGTCAGGTGACGTACCATGACTGTTTTTTCCCTTTGCAGAGCTAGGGTGGGTATAGCCTGCGTGTGACGTATCTGGCCTGCGGGCCGCCAGTTTGACACACCTGCTTTAAAGAATTCCCTTGATATTTAGAAATGTTGATGGCAATTCTCTGCCATGCAGTTACTAAAGGCCCCAGGGCACTTCCGTCCTCTAGCGGAGAAGTGGGCATTGCTTCAGAGAGTGCCCTCAAAGGATAAATTAGTATCTGTCCAATACCATTAAATTGGAGCTGTATTGTCCATTTTAACTGAGCTATGCAGAATTATACCACACTGCTTTTTTTAACCAGCAGGAGAAACTCATTCTGTCTATCATGACACCTTTTTTTTTTTTTTTTTGTAAATCTCCAGTCTTTGGAGTGGTGGGATTCTGGTCACGTAACACTTTTAGTTTTAAACAGACTTCATTATAGATCTAAATTGCTTTATGGAACCATAAAGCAATTGGCTTTTTAAATTCTTGTTTTTTTTCCCCTTTTCTCTCTGTGTGAATGACATTTTGGTTAAGATGTGTTTTTCATTAAAAAATTGTGAACAATTGCAGCAGGGTATGGATACTACAATGCTGGGTTAAATAAGAAATTCAGAAATAACCAGTTTTTCCAGTCATTGCTGCTCATTTGTCATTCTGAAAAATTTAACTCTAATAGGCAAATCCCATGTGTTTTATGAAGTCCTATTAGATAGTAAAAGCCAATATTGTCAAATAATATAGAGTTAGGCAACCTGGGACACCCTAGATATTTTTGGACTACAAATCTTATCAATCTCAGTCAGTTTGGCCTGAAGAAAACCATTGGTATCGAAATCACCTGGGAGTCCCAGGTTGACTATCCAGATTTTAAAGTCTTCTGTTTTAAAATGCTTTTATACAGTTCTGGCACAAACAGCATACTTATAAACTAATAAAGCATTTGCTTGCCTTCCTACCCTGGGAGGGCATTTTGGATTATCTCAGTTACTTTTTATGCAACACTTGATTTGCACATACTTGATTTTATTCACATTCATAAATAAAAAAGAAATCCCACATTCTCAAGAGTTATATAAATGTATGAGTTGGAAGGAACCTAAACAGTTATCAAGTTCAACCCTTTACACACAGCAAGATTTACTATACCAACAGCCCCTGGTTGAAAAATGCCAGTGAAGAAACCATTCCATGTGGTAACCTCTTACATTGATTGACATCTTTTATTGTCAATAGGTTCTTATGGAAAAACTCTGATTATTGATCTGAGACCCTGAATTTAAGAAAATGATGTTCTTATATATAATTTGCCATGCTTAGTACGCTACTAGACCAGACTAAGAAATATAATTATATATGTGATTTCTAAACAATTTAATAGTGACATTAAAGGGAAGTTAATCTCTTGAGTCAAGCCATTTACCCTTTGTAACGTATTGTACAACACCGTTTTCTTTCTTTTTTTACAACTCTGAACTCTCATTTCTTCATGTAGCTCATTAAGGAAAATCAAGAGCTACAAATCTGAGTCAGCTACAAACAAGAGTCATGTCCTTTAAAGATCCAAACAAGAGCAAGATGGTCCAAATTTAAATCAAATCTGAGCCAAGAATCTCCCCAGAGTAACATCTTTTAATCTAGGAAACCCTTTTTAACAGATGAAACAGGACAGGTGGGAACCATATGAAAGGTGAGATAGAAATGAATAAACACGTGTGCACATATGCGTTAATGTGACCTGAGGAATACCCTCTCCCTCCTTCCCTTGATCATGTTACTTCTAAGAGGTCAATTTTTCAGACTGTAACTGTAGTGAATATTTTGTCTAATTAATTGAAGGATTGAATAATTTTGGCTTGGGGTTCAGAATCTCTGCACTCAATGCCCAAGACAGAATTTATTTGTGATACAAATCATAGATTGTAAAACCTGTTTTACGTAAGGGAAGAGATTATGGATGTTGATATTAGCTTCAAATATTATGATGTGTGCTGTTTCTTCTTTTTAATGGCATAGCATATCATTTTTCAGATTACTGCAAAGTATCTCAGATACAAGATTTTCTCTTGTTTATAATACATGCAAACATGCACAAATACAGGGTGAGTTTTAGAATACCAGCTCGATTCAGCATTCACAAAGCCTTTCGTAGCCACTATAAATTATTATGAGGAAAGAAAGTGCTTAAAACTTTATTTCATTCTTCCCTACAGCCTGCATGAGATTTTTCAATCTGGACATCTATAAAAACTAATGATGCATGCAGAAAAAGAAAGTACACTACACATATCCCTGAAGTTAAGAAGAGATAAAAGCATTTAAGGAAAAAGACAGAGAGACAGAGAGAGAGACAGAGAGACAGAGAGTATATATTTAACAAAACTGTTAAAAAGTTAATTATTCAGACAATTCCCACCCCCTTGATAGTGGCTATATATACCTATACCAGGGCTGTCAAACTCATGGCCTGTGGGCCGATGCGTCAGATGCTGGCCACGCCCAGTTTAATGCAGTAGAAAAATGTCCAGATACATCACGCGACAATGATGTGACGATGTGAGTTTGACACCCCTGGGCTATACGTTGCTGATAAAAATCCAAGACTGATATGGGTCTCCTCATAATGAACTTGCTCATGCTCTTTTCTTCTTACATAGCTAAGCCCAAATCAAAAACACATATGCCTGCACACACTCAAACTTATTGTCTGTATATATTGTCACATGATGTGACTTTATTTTATTTTTTTAAAATTTAGGGAACCGGAAGTATCAGCAGCAGACTGTATCATCTCCCATGATACCATCATGACCAAGAGGGATGAAGTAATTTAAACATCATAAATCAAGCAATTAAAGTTTCAAACTAAAAAAAACCCTGACACATAAATGCTTCTGTTACTAGTAGGTAATTTTCATGCTTGAAATGAAATTCCTAATATTACTTTAATACTGAAATTTGAACATCGGTATAATTTAAGTGTGCATCTTGATCAGAGTGGTTTATCTGCCTTATGTACAGGAAATGTCTAACTTCCAGTTTTAAAACATTTTTTCTTTCTGACAATTTGCATTATGATAATTTTATATGCTTAAGTGAGGGATGGAGAAGTTGATGAAATTGTACATTTTTATGTCTGCAATGGATTTTACAACTTCTGTGATGTAATGTACCTTTCTTATACATTTTTTCTTTTTAAAGTCTTCAGTTATTGAAAATATTAATGTTCAACTTCAGCCGTCAGAAATGAAAGCTGGAATTGAACAATATTTAACATATTTTCCAATGAACGTTCAATTACTTAGACTTCAACCATATTCACTCTGGAGGCTAACTTTTAAAGGAGTCAGTAAGCTTTATCTTCAAACCAAGTTTTTGGAAATAAATGTGATTTGCCTTAGTCCTAATGCATCCTTTTCTCGGATCCGTATGCAGGTAGTTGATTTACAAGCATTCATTTAGTGGCACTGGAAAAAATGACTTATGACTGGTCCCCACCCTTACAACTGTTGCAGCATCCTCTTTGTCGTGTGATCAAAATTTGCTTGGAACCCAACCCAGCATGTATTTATGATAAGTTGCGGCATCCCGTGGTCATTTGTGACTTTGCCAGCCAATTTCCAACAAGGAAAGTCAAGGGAGAAACAAAATTTGCTTAACAACCACATGATGCATTTAAAAATCGCAGTGATTTGCTACTTCGCTTAGCAACAGAAAAATTGGCCCAGTTGTGGCCATAAGTCAAGGACTACTTTGTCCCAAAGGCGAGCTAAAGAAGCTTCTTGGATGGGAAGCGAGGCGTCTTCAAAGAAAAACTAGAAATTCCAGTTGCATTGTGAAAAAGCACCTTTGGGATAACCATGACCTGGATGACTGAGAGACTCCATAGGCATCAAGGACTACCTGTATTACAGTCTGCTAAAACTGGCTGTAGTATCAGTTACTAAAAACTCCATATATTGGTTTCAGTTGTCATACCCAAGCAAAAAAAGCTGGAAAACACTCATAGCTTTGCAATCCACATTGGCCACTATATAAATGTAGTCCTCGATTTATAATAGTTTGTTTAGTGACCGTTCAAAGTCACAATGGCACTGAAAAAAGTGCCACTTATGAGCGTTGCAGTATCCCCATGGTCACCTGATCAAACTTCAAAAGCTTGGCAACTGACTCTTACTTATGACAGTTGCTGTGTCCCGGGGTCATGTGATCCCCTTTTGCAATCTTCTGACTAGTCAACGGGGAAGCCAAATTCACTTAACAACCATGTTACTACCTTAACAACTGCAGCGATTCATTTAACAAATGTGGCAAAAAGGTCATAAAATGGAGCAAAACTCACTTAACAGCTGTCTTGCTTAGCAACAGGAATTTTGGGCTCCATTGTTGTTGTAAGTAGAGGACTATCTGTAATGAGAAAAGTGGGTGTCTTATTTATTTTATTGAATTATGTGCCCAACTCATCTCACTTATTCGCCATTGCCATTTACAATGGCAAATAAAGACACATGTAATACAAAAAATAAAACATGCAGTAGCCAGAAATCATAAAAAGAAATATATCTGGGGTCTCAGTTCAGGCACAAACCAAGTTTTTAAGGCTTTACAGAAGGCCAACAGGAATGGGGTCAATCTAATCTCAAGGTGGGGATTATATTCCAAAAGGCAGGTTGCCATGGCAGAAGGAGCTTTCCTTCTGGGCTCTGCCAGCCACCCCTCATTATCTGATGGCATAACCACCATTACTGCTCGTCATTTGAATGTTAGTCATCAAATAAGAAAGGTGTTTTTTTTTAATGCTTTGGGATTGTTTCCATCCCACCCCCCCCACCCCCGTTTATTTTATCCTGCTCTTAACTGCAGGAATAAACAGCTGAGCCAGATTTGGGGAGGGGGGGGGACACGGAAGCAGAAAAGCCAGAAGCCTATTTCCTTCCATTTTGGTTGATTAAATAAAACAGAAGGATGCCAGGAAGGTGCAGCTTGTGTCTTTCCAATCTGTAGAGTCAAGTACTATTGTCACTTGCAAGGACTTTCCAGAAGCAGAAGACCTCAGGAAGATTCTTATATTAACTAGTAGGGCGGGACGCTTAAGCCATTCTTGTCCAAATGTATCCTCTGATTTTCTGTTAGCTAATTATCTTGATTGTTTACAGAGCTCCACTAATAAGCAGCTGCCATTCTTCTGTGTCTCTGTTCATTATTTTTGGCCTCTTGCATGAAATCTGTGGCAAGGGTTGTTCATGTACATTAGTAGTCTTTGTGCAAGGGTTATGCTGAAAATGTGACAAATAGCATATCTATCTGAAGCAGGTTCATTTTTTTTGAACCACTAATAACCAGATTGGCCCAGACTCAACAAACACAAAGCACTGAAATTCTGGATGATTGATCGGATTTTGGCATCTCTGTTCAGTGAATGGGCGAAAGAAAAGCTTCAAGGTTCAATTTGCCTTTTATCTTTTGTAGATGCTGCTTTCTAGTTCTGTGCTGTCACAATTTTTACTTTTTCTGTGCCCATGCTGGGCTTCTTGATTCTTCTCCTCTCCTTCCAAATCTCAGCCCTTTCTGAGGGAAACAGCAGGAGTAACTTTTCTTTCATACCAGTTCTGAGAGAAGGAAAAAATGCCGTTCTCTCCTTCCTTCCTTCCTTCCTTCCTTCCTTCCTTCCTTCCTTCCTTCCTTCCTTCCTTCCT